AGTGACTGAGATGCTTATAAAATTGCAGGGATTAGCCGAGCCCTTTTTTTTGTCTTTCTTTTCATGCAGCGAAACGTCATCGCCATACATGAGTTTCAGAAAGGAATCTATTTGCTGTTACTCGTAGAGACGGGAGCTTTTGAATTTCAAGAGCTGACATAAACTGGAGATAGATGATGTGGCTGCTACCTCTTGGTCAGGTTGTGAGGGAAAGCACGGCTCACGAAGCCGTTGGAAAAGCTTCAGTGCAAAGCCCGCTGCTAGGGAACCCTCTGTGATATTGCCCTGCTTTTAAATCCCTGCGAATTTAAAAAAATAACTCTTTTTCCCTCCCAGCTCGGTTTCTTCGTGGGCTTCCCAGCTCTTGCTTGACTTGGGTATGGGAGGCTCCAAGGAGCTCCAAGCCAGGAGTTCCTGGCTGCGGCCCAGGGCCCTTTGAGACGAGCTTTGAACATGCATGGAGGCAAGCTCCTAATTTCCCCTCTGCTAACGAGGCCATGGGGCTTCCGTGGGGATGTGCCAGGCGCTGCTCTTCACTCGGATGTGATTTCGTGTGATATCAGCCCCTGTGGAGCAGGGGGAACCCGGCTTCTCCTGCGGAATCTCGATGCCGGGGGCTTGGCCACCTTAACCACATCCCTAGTTATCACAACTAAGTGATAAATGCATCCCAGTGCCTGCGGCATCTTCCTTACATTTCAGCTCCCATCAAGTCTGCTGTATTTCTTAAAGACAGGGAAGGCTGGAAGGGTTTGGAAGAGCTTTTTGGATGGCAACGAGGAAGAGCATCAGTTTCCCTCCCTCATCCTGACTGGGCCGTGATTTGGTAAATGGATTTGCTTGGAGCATTGCTAGTTTGTAGTACAGGCTCAGTAATTACCCCCGGCACCTCGTGCTCTCTTGACATTTAAAAAGATGCTCAACGCTCTCTGTAAGCTGGTTGTTGCCCGGAGTTGCTAGTGCCAGCAGTGTATTTTGCCTCCTCAGAGACCATTCAGCATCCAGAGATTTACAAAGATCAGGCAGCATCGATCATGCGCCCCAAGCTCTCGTCCCGGCTTTTAGAAGGCCAAATTTTAGGTAACCTATAAAGCATTTTTTTTTTACTCCTTATTTCTGTAATCCTGCATCCTCAGAACAGACTTAACTTGTGGGTTTACTTATCAAGGGTTGGGTTTATGAGAAATTCAGGGAAGGAAGCCAAGTGTTTTTTTTTCCTTTATATATTTATTTCCAGCAACAGAGCTGATTCACATCTTCCTGTGAACCTAAGAACTCTCCGATTTGAGAACGAAAGAGAGTAGAAGGGAAATGTTGGCCAACAGCTCCCCAGGCAAGAGAGGAGAATGTGGATTCACTTGTTGAAAAGTGTGTCCTCAGTCTTCTAGATCAAGTCTCCTTTCTCCTCTTTGGTCCAAAGAGCTGAAAGCCTTGGCCTGTATCACTTAGCATCATCTTTATCTGAGACACAGCAGCTCTTGCGCTGCTCCGTTGAGCCTAAAGTGCCGCCCTTGCCCTTTCCCAAACTTTTCCAGGTACATGGCAAAATATTTCTGGCTTTGCAGAGGTGGTGATCCTGGCTGTGGCTTTTGCTCCGTGTCTCTGAGGGCAGCGTGAGTGCATGTGCGTGTGGGAAGCAACTTGTGTATGGTATCGATTTTATTAATTTAGGTTTTTCTCCATCAGGCACCCAGGTCGGTCATGCAAATACAGCATTTTCCCCAAATCTCAGGGCAGGTTTTGCAAACAGTCTCAAAATTGTTGCAAAACCACCCTGGCCTCCATTAGCTGCCCACAACGAGCAGTAGAGGAGGGGGAAAATAACATCTCCGGAAAACGGGTAGTTTTGGGCAAATGAGAGGAAGGACAGGCCAACTGCTTAGTTCATTTTTATGTCAGTAGGAGGAAAAATATCAGGTGGCCGTGATGTGGTGGAAATTCCCATCCGGCTGGACTTGGGCTTTGGGTTCGGTTGGGTTTTCCTGGTGGCTTTTTAAATATCGTCAGCAAACCCAAATCTTGCAGAAACTGCGCGATTTTCGCAATGCCCCTTCCGAAAGCAAGCGGTGTTTCCGCTCGCTGGCTTTTTGGGGCCCCGCTTCACCCCTTCGTGAATTTATTCTGTATTTATTGCCAGTGCTGCAGGCTGAGCAAGCAAAAGCCTCTGCCCGGGGCATCCTTGTGGGTCCTGTACGGGCTGCCTGGGTTTAAGTGTTCTGCGCAGGTCATTGGTACCTGTGAGTTGCTCTGATTTCTGTGCATTGAAGGAACGTAGAGAAAAGGATTTCGGGAGGCCACAAAGTGCGTCCAGCTGCCTAGCTTAGGCTGGATCGGAAAACAAAAAATGGCATTGATTTTTTTTTCCCCACTCTTTTTTTTTTGTTTTCCTGGAATTGGCAAAGCTGAGCCCCGTGCGCGCTGCCGCTCTGCCTTCCCCACAGCGCTTGGTGGAGTCACTCGCCTCCAAACTTGGCGATGGGAGCTGCCCGTGACCTATTTTTTCTGCGTGTTTCTCTGCCAGCGGTAGCAGAAATGTTTGCACATTTAAAGGTACACTTCAGCATTAAGGTCACCGGATCGTTTTCCTGTTAAAACTGACGGGAATCAAAGACACCAGCCAGATACTGCAGCGGCAGTCTAGTCTTTCTGATTGCCCATTTTACTAGAAAGACCTGTTTTTTCAACCTTTTTGTTTCTCTTATTATTTTTTCTTTTTTATTCCCCCAGTTGCTTTGTGCTTCATCAAGCCTCATGTTTTTATATTGCGCTTTATTTATAGTTTTACATCAGGCGGCCTAAGGGCTCGTGTCGCGCTGCCTGCACCGGCTAGGGTTAAATTTTTGTGCTCGGTGTCACACAGGCAGGGCACGGAGCCAGGGAATTTGGTCCTGATCCCAGCTGGAAAGCATCCGATTAACTCTCGGGGAGCCGGGCGGCAAAGGTGGGAAATGAGCTCCCTTTGGTTGGACGGGCAGCGCCGCAGCGAAGGTTCCTCGCCAGGTTTCCTTGCGGGTAAAGGGGCTTGTGCTGGGTTTTATTCCCTACGGATGCTCCTTGGACGTGATCCAGCAGTGCAGTATCAGCCCAGGCGCTTTTTGGATCCCTATGTGACTCCTCACCATGAGGTCACCCCTCCGGGTACCTTTGCTCCTGTGGGCCCATCCAGAGAGATCGATAGGACGGTCCGGAGAGGTCAGACCCAGCAGCCGCTCTCTTTGCCAGTGAGTTTTCTCCTTTCGGGTCGTTTTTCCCCCTTTTCGCACACAGCGGGCGGCGGGGGGATCGCTGGGGCATCGCCGCTGGCTGCAGCGGCGCCGTGAACTCTCCTCGGATTCGTTTCCTTGGCACCGTCCCGGTGCTTGGCACAGAGCAGTCCCCAAAAAGCACGTAGGGAGCCGGGCCGCTTTCACCACCTCTTTGGCAAAGCCACTTGACGTGACGGTTCAGGCTGACGGTTCAGCGTCCCCCACCCACAGACTGTTAATTCGTAGTCTGTTATTAGCAGTATTTTTTTCCTGCTGGTTTTTAAGTGCCTGGGAAACCTTTTTCCCGATACGCGTGCGTTAGGCCTCGCGTTCAGGACCGTTTCTCGCAGAATTCGCAGCGCGCCGGAGCGCTCCGACGCGGAGGGAGGCGCTCCGGAGCCAGCGCGTTTGTATTCGGAGCTGTTCCCGGCTTCGCTTTGGGCCGAGTTCATAACCACGTAGCCAAACCCGCAGGAGAGGCCGCGCAGCCTCGCGCAGCCCCTTTGAAACTCGAGCCTCGCTTCGTGCCTGTGCAGAGTAAATACAAATAAATAAGTGTATGTATTTTCCCCCCGGCGCGCCGGTCGCTTTGGCACCCTGGCCCCTGGGGTTTCTGGCGCTGCCCGTAGCGAGCCCTGCGTGTCCTGGGCTTCCCGGCCTCGCCGCTGCATCCCAAGGGAAAAGCGCCGCCGTTGTGCTCCAGCTTCGCTCTCGTCCCGCCTCGCTGCCCTGCTCTTTGCCTCTGTTTCCCTGGCGGGAGGCAGGTAATTGCCCCCTGCTTTAATCCCTTTGAGCTCTCCTGATGAAAGCTCCCTGCCAGAGGCTTGGCCTCATTATTAAGAGCGTTAAGTGTGTGCTATTAGCCTGATAGGGCTTCCTTTGGCTTCGCCGTGGAGAGCCCGGCTCGGAGCCGAAGTGCGAGCGAGGCCGTGGGCAGGGACCCCTGCCCTCTCCCAGCCTCACGTTGCGTTATCCCTCGCTCAAAGTGTCATTGAAAAGCCGACCACAAAGCCCCGCTCCGTCCGCCGGCAGGTTGCTCTTTCCGACGTGGGACGAGATGCCGCCATCACCTCCCCGTCACCGCGGGCCTTCTCGCGCGCCGGAGCCGGCCTTGCCTCCTCACATCCCGTTCCCAGCTGTCCTCCTCTCCGAAGGGTTCCTTCCTCGCGGGTGCAATGGGAAACCTCTCCTTGGAAGACGGCTCAGCCTCCATCCCACCTCTCCTGCTCATCCTTCCTCTGCTGGAGGAGAACATCCTCATCCTCTTCCTCCAGGGTCTTCGCCTGCTTGTCGCCCAGAGCCGGGACTGCTTTACTCTCCCTCAGAAGGTTTCCAGCCTTCTCCATGGCTGCCTTTTTATTACTTTTGGCTGCCTTCTCCTCAATCTGAAGCTGATTAAAACACAATTCCTCCCTTCCCCCTTCCAAAAAAAAAAAATAAAAACACCAAACTTGGCTCCTCCAAACCCGTCTCATTTCTGTGAAGTTTTTTAACAGTTTCCTGGCTCTCCCACAGGCTGCGTTCAAGCTAACCAATTTTTCCCCCCTCCTCCTCTTTTTTTTTTTTTCTTTTTTTTTTTTTATTTTGCTGTGACATTTCTCAGCTGTTGCAGAAGAAGGGAGGGAGGAGCAGCCTGGTCAGGGTAGCCCTGGCGTGGAGGAGGTCGTTTCATGTGGTTGTGGTTGGATGGATCTGGTGCCGTGAAGACCCCTGGAGAGGCACCTTAGCACCCTGAAGGATCGGAGACGTGAGACCCGAACGCCGCGGTATGGCCAGCAGGTAGGTCATGGCCCCCTCGGCAGACAAGGAAAATATGGAGTGGATGGTGCCATTGGAAGAAGAAAATGGGAAGCTGTGGTTGGAAGGGAGCTCAGCTTCTAGGGACTGTTTTTTTTTCTTTCATTTATCCTGGTGTTTTGGCCAGCTGTGCTGGTGTGTTGGGTTTATCACTGCGGTTGTGGTTGCCCGGGCTGGTAGAACAGCTGGATATATACTTGGATGCAGTGAAGGGCTTCTGGCTAGACTACATTATTGCCTTAAATCCCATGTGGTGCTTCTTCTTCCCTCCCCGAGGTCTAGAACATCTCTGTGAAGGAAACAGGAACCCCAACCTCTGCTTAGTTGGAGAAAAGCTTCAAAAGGAGAGAGCCCGATGCGGTCCAGGGCTGCTTGGGCAGGTCTGTGGTGGTTTCTCCAAGAGAGCCTCGTTGCGTTGGGTATTTAGCTGTAACCTCAAGGCGCAGACGTTTTGCATTGGTGTTGAAGAGTTGACGTGAAGTTTTGCCCTGGTGAACGCGACCTGGCAGTCCCGTTGTGCGCGCGCCCGGGCCCGTCGCACCGCGTCTCCGTGCTCTGGGGCTCTGTGGGAAGTCACAGAAGGGTTGGCCAAGAGGGAGCTGAGGGGGGCTCAGTGCATCGCGTCTTGGCGTCTGTCTCTGCGGTGCCTCAGGACGGGTCCCTGGAATCACTGTGGTTGGAAATGACCCTCAAGATCACCGAGTCCATCCGTGTTGCGTCTATCCCCGGACTCGGCTTCCTCAGCGCTACGGAGCAGCTGGGGGTCCTCAGGCACTCCTGTTTCTCCAAGGCTTAATCAACCTTTCTGCTTTCTGTCATGCCGACTGTTGCTTTAAGGCTGAATTCCTGCAGATAGTTTATGGTCTTCCAAGCTATACAAATGCGCTTTGCCTTGTGCAATCGCTGACCGCAGCGGGTTTCAAAGCAGCAGCCGGGGGTGAAGAATTGCTCCTGATGCGCTTGGGTCCTCCTTTGGTGGTGGTGCTGGTAGTGTCTTTTTTTGTTTAGCCCTCTCCCCTGCTTCACAAAAGTGACCTGAAATGTCTCTGGGGGGCAGCACCCACCAGTTTGAGGATGGGAAGGGATGCAGGGTCAGTCCTGCCGCATCCAAAGAGGCCCTGGAGCATCTTAAATCCCTTTGCCCCAGCAAAACCCCTGGCACACGGTTCCGGAGCGGAGATGCAACAGCAAGCATCCCAGCTCTGCTAAGCATTAACTGGGCCGCGAGTGGGAGCAAGGGTTTGAGGGTCAGTTTGTTGGTTTTTCTTCTCTTTTTTTTTTTTTAAATCAAAACACCTCGTTTGAGTTCAGGCTCTTGTGTTGTAACTCCTGGGCCCCACCAGTGCTCGCAAGGGTGCGCGCGGCCTTCCAGCCTCGGCGCCGCTGGAGTATTTCCACTTGGCTCCGAGACTTTCTTAACATGTGTTGTGGTCTCCGGAGGCTTTAATGAGGTTCAGGCTTTACCAGAAATTGCCTCAGAACTTGCAGCGGGCGGAGGAAACCAAAAGCAGCAGCGGCGCTGCCTGCAGCCAGGGCAGATTGCAGGAGAGATGGGAGCACACAGCACACGGCCAAGCTGAAAGGTGAGTGTTTCCTCACGGATAAAGCAGCCGTGCAGCTCTTGGAGGGACTGTTGCTGAGGTCCAGGCAAAAACATCCCTATGGGCAAGCTCCAGAAAGGCAACGTGGGGGGCGAGGATCGCTTTGTTGCAAGCACGTTCTTGTAAGCGCGTGCGGCTTTTTCCCCGCTCCGCTTTTCCGCGGGGTTTACGCGTGTTTGTGCCGCCGGACGCCCTCCCTCCTGCCACGGTGTTGGGTGCGACGGGGGCGGCCGCTGCCCCCGAGCAGGCGGCAGGGCCTCGTCCCGGTGCCGGAGCGCGCGGGCGCCGCCGCCTGTGGCGCTTCCCGGGGCTCTGCGCCTGTTCCCAGCGCTGCCCGGGGAAAAACGCCGCTTAATTTGGGAACTGCGGCTGGCCCGGGATTGCCGCGCTGCCTGCCGTGCAGATGGAGGCGCGGGAGCCAAAACTGGTGGAATAGCTGCGGGCCGGGGGGAGTCTCCAGCCTCTTGGGACACGCTGATTTCTCCTCTTTTACAGAAAGCAGTGACTTTTCCGTTCAGAACAGGGGGTTATCATTGCTCCTTTTTTTCCAAAATACTTGTATGCAAGTCCCATGTTTGCACCCCATCTTCTCTCTCTGCACGGAAATTTGGAGCTGTGCAGTCAAGATCCCTAGGGAAGCTTCCTGCTTCTTTGGGTAACTTCCCTTGCGAAACCGGGGTTAAAGCTTCAGGTATTTTCTCTACTTGTGGTGCAATTTCACTGCAAGCTGCATTCAGCCCTTTCTGTGGGCAGTAATTCTAATGAAAGGAAAACGAGATATATTTTTAACCTCCTTTTTTAAGCTGGGGGCGGGTTAACCTTATGCCTGGCCGGAGATGTTTGCAAGCATTCAAGGATGAATGCATCAGTATCCGAGACATACAGAAATAGAAAGCTGTAATGTGCAGCAATAACAAATATGCACTTCTCATTTCAGGATTTCGAGCGTTAAGAGCAGACTTATTTAGGAGGTTTTGATAGCATGGATCTGTTTTGTTATTTTTACCTGACTACTAGGTGTAACAAACCCGCTCGAAAGACTTTCTTGCAGCAATTGTAAAATATCGGCGTCCCGTGTGATGAATCATAAAAGTAAAATCATGGGAGAGATCATATGTTAAAGTCATTATCCTGAGCAGCTGCTCATATGATTTAATTTGGGCTCTCTTCGGTGGGGGAGGCCGGTTTTTTGGTCGCTCTTTTGAAACCTGGTGTTTCGACAGCCAAAGTTGCCGCTTCTTCCTCTTCCTCGCTGCGTCCTGCCCGCTCGGAGCTAATTTGGGGTTTTCTGTGGCCTGTTAGAGGTTGCCAGGGGGTGGGTTGCAAACCATGTGGCTTTGCAAAGAGAAATAAGGCTGGAGCCTGCAAAAACACCCTTAAATCCAGCCCAGATCTCAAGGGGAAACTTAAACAAGGCTCTTTTGTGGCACCTGTCCTGTTTTGGTGGCTCTGGCCAAGGCCTCGCGCTCTGCTCGGGTTTAGCACCACTGTGGAAAAGCTCGGAGCGAGGGGAACTGCCCTCGTCGAGCAGGGAGGCTCTTTCTGCCTGTGCCGAGATGTTCCGTAAGCTCATTTGGACTCTTGTTTTTGGAGAGAAGTCAATTATCTGCGTGCTTGAAGTTTGCAGAGGGGAATTTCAACTGAATGAGGAATCAGTCTCGGAAGCTGCAGGAGGAGAAGGGAAGAAAAAGAAATAAACCTTCCTTATTGCAAGGCCACCTGGCTGCTTTGAACATTTTGGTCTAATTAATGAGGGTTTCAGATACAGAGGAGCTTTGGCCGGAGCGTGGGCTCCTTGGACACAAATCCATGCCTGGTGCAACGTTAAACGCACGTAGGGAAGAGGGGAAGGAGCTGGATGGGACGGGAGGAGAAAGCTCCCAGCTCCAGCTTGTCCTGCCCTGCCTTGTTTCCAGGATTGCCTCACCAGGAGCCGGGTTCCTGTAAAGGAGCCACCTCCCTGGAGCCTGTTACTGCGCGATGTCTTCGCCCCGAGAGGAGCGAGAGGCCTCGGTGCCCCCGGGCACGTCGGTGCCCCCCGCTGCCCTTCCTGGCTGCGTTTCAAGGGGTTGTTTCTCTCCTCCGAGATGAACTCGTGCTGGTCGCCCCTCTGAAGGAGCCTCACGCCCCTGTGTTTTCTCCCTTTCTTTGCAGCCTACCCATGAGCTCAGATTTCCAGCATTACAGCTTCAGGATGCCGAACATCGGGTTCCAGAACCTGCCTCTCAACATATACATCGTGGTTTTTGGCACGGCCATCTTCGTCTTCATCCTCAGTTTACTCTTCTGTTGCTACTTGATCAGGTGAGCGAGCTGCCCTGGCTGCTTCCAGAAGGTTTCCCAGCTCCGAGTGGGACCACAAGGTCCTCAGCACCCCCTGCTCCCCCTCAGCATCCCCTGCTCCCCTTCACCCGGTATTGGGTTGCTCTGGCTGCTGCCTGGAGAAGGAGACCCCTCCTGTGCTTCTCTATGAGTGCAAAAGGAGCCTTGGCTGTAGCATTTATGTTATTCTCCTTAATTATGTTATTCTCCTTAAAACCAGGGCATATATTTATGTGTATACACAAAAACATGGCTGCTTAAGTGGTCTCCTTAAAAAAGCCTTGAAATAGATTTTTGGTTTCTCGCCGTGGCTCCCGCTTTCTGCCTAACATTTCAGCCCATTTCCCTCATTAATGAGTAACCTGCGTGCTGTGTGCTTAAGAAATGTTTAATACCTGCTCCATTTGTTATTGTACACAAATTGCTCGTTCAACAGCGCAGTTTGGAGATTAATGATGCAGAGGTGATTTGTTCGTCTGAAGGGTGGGGGATTAAAGGTTATCCCAGGTCGGTGCTGGCGGCGGGGGGAGATGCTGTAGTTATTTTACGGGCCAGAAGGGAGTTTGACTGTTAATGGCGAGCTGAAACTCTTCCTCCTTGGGGGAGAAATGAGGGGCAGGTTGGGGGAAAAGGAGGGCTGGATGGAGAGGAGGCTGTGCCGAGTTTTCGGCAGTTTCCGGTGCTGGCTCTGCTCTTCCTCCGGCTGGGAAGCTGCTCCCTCCATCCTCGTGCTGCTCCCCTGCCACCCCAGGTCCTGCCACGTCCCCTTCCTCCCTTTTGCTTTTTGGGTGGTCCTGGCTCCGTGCTAGCCCTGTATCCATAGGTTCCCCAGCCCTCATCCCCCGCATGGTCTCTCCTTGTTCCCATCCTCTTTGCTGTAGACCAGGGAGAGCAGATTCTGCCTCTGCCTTCAAGGACGTGGGAGCTGGCTTGGATTTTCAGCTCTGACCACAGCAAAGCCCTGGAAAACTTGCAGGTGAGCCCAAACCCAGGTGAAATTTAGAAGTTGGAAATACGTCGTGCAAGAGAGGGTGAGAACCATAGGAAGGAGCCCGCAAGGGAAGTGGCAGGTTGTCCATCTCCCGATGCCTTCAAATCAAGGCAGTGCCTGTCTGGAGACGGGCTGGCTCCCATTCCCAGGAGTACGATAGAGGGGAGCTTGGATTAAACCATCCCGCGATCCGTTTATAGCGCTGAACTCTAGTGAGACTATGAATTTCTCTTCAACCCACCACAAACTCCTTGGTTCAGTGAAAAATGGTGCCAAGCAGGAATTGTCCTCCTGTGAAGCAGCCCCTGTTTTGGAAGGCCTCTCTGTGCCGCGATTTCTACTGTGAGGATTTGCCCTTGGAGCATCCATCCCCTTGGATATTTGCAGCCAAACCTCAGCTTGAGTGGGATATAAGAACTCCAGACCTTGTGTGTGGTGGTCCGGGACGAGGACCACGTGCTGCAGGTGCGGAGGAGCCTCCCCGATGTCGCGTCGTTGCAGCTCTGCTTCGCTCAGGAGCACGGCCGGTGCCCGGACGAGCTCTGCAGCAAGAAACCCCCCTGCCCCACGACAGGAGGGCTTCACACACCTGGGGCAAAGCAAGATGAGTTCGGTCCCTCCCTGCCAAACCCGCTGCAGCATCAGCCCATCCTTCCCTGGCCCCTTCTGCAAATGAGGGGCATGGCTCCCATACGGATCTGCATCTGGAGGGAGTCTGAAAGAGAAGTGTTAACTTACTCATTAGGCAGCAGCAGCCTGGGTTAGGTGGCGTCCGGCCCCTCGTCCCGCTCTCCTGCTGCTCCTCGTGACCAGCACGGCTGCAAATTCTTGGCAGATCCCGAGCGGAGCTTGTGACACAGCCCTGCGGGCCCCGTTCCTCGTCGCCTGCTCCTTATCGGAGCATCCTCCTCCTCCAACGTCTGTAATGTGGGAGACGGGACAGCTGGGGAGGGATTTGCCTCATGGGAGAGCCAGTACCCGACGGATTTACCCCTCATCCGAGAGCCAACAGTAGGAAACCAAGGATTTGCCTTGGGAAAATGTCAGTGGGTTGTGTTTGGCATCCGTGTCACCACGCGGGAGCAGGATCTTGGCTCCCAAGACTCCGAGGGAGGAAGAGGAATTGAGCTCCTAAGTGAGGCAGGTTCTGTATGGAGATGGATTTTAGCCAAAAAAAGAAAAAAAAAAAAAGAAATAGCAAGGGAAGATAATCTCAGTGCACAGCCCAGTCAAACCCAAAGCTCGTCTCATTTTCAGCACCACTTTGCTGCCAAACACTACTTCCATCCGTGGAGTGATGCTGTTGGGCCTGCACCGGGAGGGATGGAGCAGGGAGCGGGGGCCGGAGCTCGGAGGTGAAGCTGCAAAATGCCATTTCCCCCCATTTGTCCCCTTCGCTTTTGGGCGCAGAAGTTTCCGTAGCAGCAGTTGAAATTCAAAGGGCTGGAGGCACCCGGGGGAAACGCGATGCTCCCTCTTCCCAGGGAGTTGCACAGAGCCTGGTGGAGAAGATGGAGAAGGCGGAGAGGGGGAGCACGTACGCGCACGGCCTCGCGCTGCCTTTCCAGCCGCTGGGTGGTCTCGTATGTGCAGGAGCGTCTGCCAGAAATCCCTCCTGCTGCTTGACACGGCGCAGGCGACCCCCTCGCTCCGCCGGGAACAGCGCTGGCCATTCGGGACCGCATCCCGGCGGCTGGGCCGGGCCGGGTCTCCTCCGCGCCGGGGCCGCGTCCCGGCTCTGCGCCCGGGCAGCAGCGTGGGAGGGAAACGAGGCCGCGGGAGGCTCCCCCGGCCCCGCGTGGGCTCCGAACGGCCGGAGCGGCTCCGCTCTCCCCAAGCACCGGGAGCCTCCGTGCTCCGTCCCCGTGGATGCGCTGCCTCTCCGTCCTTGCAAGCAAAGCCAGGATGGACGCTGGGTTTTTGGGGATTCTGGGCAAAAGACAAGCTCGGCAGAGGCTTTTTTTTCCCCAGGCTTTTGGAGTTTTTCCCCCTCGTATGTGGTCTCCGGCAGAGCACGTCGCTTTTCCCCATCTGGCTTTCATAACTGCTTTCCCAACCGTGGGGAATCTCTGCGGATTGGGCTGGTTTCATGCTGGTTTTCTCTATTGTTCGGGCATCTTCTGCTCGCCGTCGTCTGCAGGGAGCTGCTGCTCCACGTACATCAAAGCTCTCGCTGCTGCAGCAAGGCTCCTTTTGACCCATTACCGCTTTTTGGGCTGTGTCTGGTGCTTTGCCTTTGCTGCCAGCCTCCTTTGCTGGGTTGCTGCCAAGTGCGTTTGATATCAGCAGGATTATTTTATTTGTTGGGGTCCTACAGGGAAGGATGGGAGAGGTTGTGTTCGCTCCATGCCCGGGGGAGCCAGAGATAGAAGGAGATGGGACTGACTCCTCGTGCCTCCCGTCACCGTTCAGGCTTCCCAAACAGAGTCACCCTCTTGGTTTCCAGCTCCTCATTGACTCCAGAGTGGCTGCTGTTGGAAAAAGACAAAGGAAAAAAAAAGGCGGAATGCGGCGCTGGGAAAGCTCCGGGGGAGGCAGAGAGCAACTTCTGCTCCACACATTCCCAAGGGCGACTTGCCTTTCCCTGCCCTTTTCGGCACCTTGCTATCTCCCTGGTTTTAACCGCCTCCCCGCTCGGCCACGGGAAGCCAAAGCGGGACAGTGTCGCAGTGCTGCTTTCCCGGGGCATCCCGACCGTTTCCTGCGGAGAAACAGTTGCCCTTGGCTTCCTTGGAATGACTTGTCCTTGGAAGCCCCTGCATGGGACTGGGGCCGTCTCGTGGCTGCTCTGTTGATGCTGGAGCCGAAGCCAAGGCAGGGTTGGAGCACAGGGAAAGGCCGGAGCTGGGGGTGTCTGTAGGAGACCTTGTGCGGGGAGATTTCCACCCTGGTCACCGCTAGAGCTGGAGCAGAGCTCTTAACCGCAGCCTCTCGCGTTCCATGCGTCCGTCCTGATTTTTGAAATGAAAAAGGAAAAAATCCAAAAAAGAAAAAGAGCATCACGATTAAATCTGGACGGGCGGGAAATGCAATGGGCTGGCTCGGGCGCTGTGCTGATCCTCCTGTCTTCACACTTTTCTCTCTCTTGATTCCAGGCTCAGACATCAAGCCCACAAGGAGCTTTACGCCTACAAGCAGGTGAGGGCTAAACCCCAGGTTGCCTTTTTCTCCCCTTTTGCTGTGAGCCAAATGCACGTAAAGGGGTGGTTGAAACAGTCACGTTTTTCCCTTCGTTGGCTGCGCATGGAGCTGCCCCTCAGCTCCTTCCCAAACCTCCGTCATTTCCCACTTGGGAGCAGTAATAACGTCCCCGAGACGGCGCCGTCCTGCAGAGTCTCGGCTCCTTCCCTGGGCCCTTCCTGGCTGCTTTGGGGTACAGGAAGCCCCATCGACGGGAGCGTATCCGGGATAACTGGGAAAGGGGGAACAGGAGACCGTGGGGACACCCACACTGGCGTCTTTATTTCTTTCAGCTGGTGCTAATAATGCACAGCCCCGGCGAATTTTTAATGTAGTTTGGGGAGTTCAAGTTCATCTTTAAACCGCAGATTTGGTTAGAGCTTCTCCCTGCAAAGACATGCAGCTCCTTATATGTGTATGAACCTCCGCTCGTAACGTGGTGCTGGTGGAGCGGGCGCTTCCCTTGGCCGGGCAGCGCCCGCAGCTCCGGCCCCGTCCTGACGCCATCCCTGCCTTGCAGGTTATCCTGAAGGAGAAGGTGAAGGAGCTGAACCTGCATGAGGTGAGTGCGGCCGGCGGCGACCCCGGCCTTCCCCAGTGCCTGGAGACCCCAAGCTCATTCCAGCCCTGCAAGGCTGAATCCGAGCAATTAAAGCCCCGATGAAGCTCGGATGGGGCTTTATTTATATATTTGTATATTATGGGGCTATTTTCTTAATAGCTCTTGCTTTCCCCTTTGCCTCCAGATCTGCGCCGTCTGCTTGGAGGAGTTCAAGCCCAAAGACGAGCTGGGCATCTGCCCGTGCAAACATGCCTTCCACCGCAAGTGAGTGCCGCGCCGCCGCACCGCGGGCGCCGCCGCCTTCGTTTCCCCCCTCCTCACTCTGTGTTTTCTCCGTTCCCCCCGCCAGGTGCCTCATCAAGTGGCTGGAGGTGCGCAAGGTCTGCCCGCTGTGCAACATGCCCGTGCTGCAGCTGGCGCAGTTGCACGGCAAGCAGGACGCGCTGCCCGGCGCCCCCCACGCCGTATAGCCGCCCGCCGCGGCGCCGCCGCCGCGGGGCCCCTTAGCACCGGGGG